CAAAATATAATATTTGTTTATCTAAAGTTTATAATAATAATATAAAAGAAATGCATCTAGACCAGAGCCACCAAATAATTTATAGGGTCTAGACTAGTTACCAATCAATTGTAAAGTGCAAGACATGAATTAATACAAAAACTAATATAAGTTTTGATACTTTTTTCCTAGAAGCTTGGCTTGTTTAGCTCACGACTGCCATGGCTTCTTCCTTAAACTCATAGTCCCTAAAATCTTGGCTCGGCTCAGTCGTTATCATAATGAGTGAGCCGAGCGAGTCGAGCCAACCACGAGCGATGTCGAGCTAACGAGCTTCGAAGAAACCTTTAGGCCCCCAAGGTGGAGCTTTTTTAGCTTCACATTGTTCAAATTACCCAGACTCAGGTGAGAGGCCCGTCCCCGACCCTGCCCCCGCTTCTTCCTTAAGCCCAATTGGCCCCGTGGATTCGAGTCGCAATTCCCAGAATTTGTGGCGATCTTTGCACTGAGGAAGAAAAGCTAAGATGGGCGCGACATTATTCAAATTAGCAGTGAGGTGAGTTGGTCCGCCGCCCTTTGCTTCCCTAGCCCAATTGGCAGGGATTCACCCCATTTGTAGCGACGCCTTGACGCCCCTAAGCGAGTCGCGACTTGAGAGTTGGTCGCCGCCCGCATCCCACTGGCTAACAGGGCACCGCGCCACACGGACGCGGAGTGCCAGAGCGCGCCCGCCACCACCCGCCGCTCGACACACCGGCTCTCCACCAAGCCCGCCCGGTGCCGCCCGGCATCCCCGCCCGCCTCCTAGCGCTGTTGGCTTCTACTACTCTGCTCCGATGGAGGGAGGAGAGGAGGAGGTCCATCACGAGGAGGATGAAGGTGTATATGGATTAAGTGATCAAGAACTTTTAGTTTATTTTTCAAATTTGAGGTATGTGAACATACCATTTGTGATTGCAGTGTTTTTGTAATAATTGGGGTGATTGTAGTATTTGAATTTTGTGTGATTGTAGTATGTTAATAAGGTGCGATGTGAATGCGGTGTCTTTTGGTTCATTTTGTCGTTGCAATTCGCCCCGGCTATAATTTTTTTTCTGGCTCCGTCATTGTACGGCCCGAACTGGAACGAAAAAATATACAATAATTCCGGAGCATAGGAAGAGGCAAAAAAAAGTACGATGAAAATTTTGACTTTTTATTATTAGGAACCTAGTATGTATGGAAATCGGATTTTGTATAATCAGTAAACGTTGTTTTAACCTTAACGATCGTGGGTCATGAGCCCGGCTCATATAATAAATTCGGAAGATGTAGCCTAATATGTATCGGAATCGGTCCGGAGTTTGGACCAGCTGAGCCGAGTCGAATGAAATTTACCAGAAAAATTTCAGCTGAGCTGAGTGGAATGAAATTTACCAGAAAAATTTTAGCCCTCTATTGTTTGTATATATATATATATATATATTTAGATAGATATTTTAGAAAAAAATATCTTAAATCCTTAAAAGTCCTAAAAAGTACTTTTATAATAATAAATATATGCTCTTATATATACGGTAACGTATCATGTGCAAACCAACTAATATGTGTAAATTTGGAAAGTACTCATTAGGATCACTAGATGCTGATCCAATGAATAGAGTGAGAGGTGTGATTTTTTTGTGCTTAAGCCTCCCATCCGTCGGCCTTTTTTTTACGCTTAAGCCCTCTCATTCTATTTATTGATCAACATCTAGTAATCGTAATTATTAATTTCTAAATTTCCACACATTAGTTGATTTGCCCGATACGTTGCCCTTATATACAGTGTACTCCCCTCAGGTCGGCCTACACGGACCCGATCTGTCTCTACCTTTTCTTCTTCCATTGCCACACCAACGTGCGACTCTCTCGTGGCGACGCCTGGGCGGCTGTCGTTGCCGGCCTGCCGCCTAGGATAGGTGCCCAGGTCTTCTTCGACCTCTTCGCTGGCGACGAGCACCGTCAGGTACGCCCTCCCCCTCGGTCTTCCCTTCCTGTTGTGCGAAACCGTGCACCCAAACCCTAAGTTACTATTTGTATTCGGATCTGACCTAATTACAAGTGTATATGCGTGTATTGTGGCTACTAACTTCGATTGCTTTGCGAAAATATAGGGTGTGCATGTGTACACGAATGCCCTTTACTGGGTCCGCCCCTGATTTAGCTAATGACTATGATTCTGGTATTGCGGTGTGTCTAGGGCCTGCCCTGGCATGCTGACCTGAGTTGGGTAGCTGATCCATTTTTTTGTTATACTGCCTCGATCTATGGTTCAGGGTAAAGTTTTGCAGCTGATCAATCATAGCTAGATTGATTGAGCTAATGTCTGCACCTGACGTTGTCGGTTTTATTAGTTGCCATAACGGTGGAGGAGCTGAAAGTTGCATGGTTATCTAGAGAATAGGCTTGATAGTAGCCTGTGAGCGATGTGTTATGCGATGAAGCAATGTGGCATGTTTGAGGCTCGTAGTTATCAGTTTCCAGTTATTATGTGGATTATGCCAGATTTCTCGTCACGTTGATTGCCTTGTTGGTCTTTGTGAAGTGATGACATACATGTGCGACGCACGATTGATTCTTTTAAAACCATATGATTCCTTGTTTAATTATTGTCAATAATGAACTGACTTTTCTTGATTAAATCATCTGTTTTGCATGAAAAACTATGTATTTTGTGGAAGAAGCATTTTCTTTTTGACTAGCAAGTTCTGATCAGATAGGTCAGAAGTGCCATCTGTTGCTATCCTGTTAATCAAATAATCCTGATGTAGGGATGTGAGGGAAGGTGTTGTTTGTGCTGTATTCTTCACTTAGTTACAGAGGCGCAGTAGATTAGCACACCAAGTTTCTGAGTTGCAGTCCTTTGTAAAAGTTTATTTGTTTATGTTTGATTAGCTCACGCCATCGTGGTTCACAAATATGAGGATGAAATGGACAAATCTAATAACCTCTCATGCACCTACAGCAGGAAAGAAAAGTTCCATCGGTATAATTTGTATTGTAACGAATACTATTTTGATGAACCAAATTTGACATGTCATTGGACCTGTTACTATTACTACTGAAGCCTTTATCACCATCCCATCCTTTTATATTTAATCCTTTCGTTGGATGGTTGGTCTCACAGACATGAGTTAATAATCTACATTGCCTTATTATCGTGGCTTTTATTTCTATGCATGGGCGGTAAGGTGAGGCGTGGCGACCCATCGCCTTCCAGACGCCTAGGCGAATTAGGCGCGCGGCAAGGCGACACAATACACATACCCTCACTTACATTAGAGCAGGACAAACATACATTGATACATAACCCTTTTTGCTGCCAGTTTTAGAGCCTATGCACAAGCAGCCACCACCCACTAGCTAGAGCAGTTTATACCCTATCCAACTATCCAAGCACAATTAGCATACCACATCAAAGGAGTATATCCAAATCCATGTCCAAGATCCAAGCAAACATAAGCAATATAGTTCAGACTTCTGAACAGAGGAAGGAAAGGAGAGGAAGAGCGGAGGAAGGAAGTGAGATGAAGAGCAGAGGAGGGGAGAAGAAGAGGTACTTGTGAGCCAATTCGGTCCTGGGCTGCTGGCAGGGAATCGAGCAGAGGAAGGAGACACTAAGTCCACGTAGAAGCGGAAACAGGCATTAATCGATGGCAGGCGTGGATTGGCGGGTGGAGGTTGGACACCAGAGGCTGACGGAGCAGAGATCGGAGGCGCAAATCGGTGGAGGCTGTGGAGTCACAGTAGGAGTCGTGAATCGGCGGAGCGGAAGGGGCGGGAGCGGCTGGATGAGGTGGACTTGCCGCTGGATTCCAGGTGCTGCCACCGCCATCTTCTCTTCCCTTCTCTCCTATCTTTCTCTCCCCTTCTCTCAATTGGCGAGCTGCAGGGATGCTGCGCATTCTCGCGGGAGGTATAGGGCTATAGGCGCGCAATTTCCCCTCCGCGCGCTTAGCTCCCTCTCATTTTCCCCCCGTATGGCTCCTAATTTTGCCATGTGCACATAGCTCTACAAACTTTTCCTTGTGTGCGCAGCCACCTTTTTGTTCACACGGTGTTGGTGCCACGCCTTGGTGACGACTTTTCGCATGAGGCGACGCCATATGCAGTGAGGTTGTGGTGGGCACGACACCTTGATTTGAAAAGCGCCCAGACGCCTAGGCAACGACTAGGCGATGCCTTAATAACCATGTACCTATGCTCTAGCCTACCCCAACTTGTGTTTGGTTGTCTAGCTTGTATTGGATATGTTCTGTTGTGGTGAGTTTATTTGGATCACCTATGCCTCACACCAGAACCACCATCTCCTCTTTGTTTCTCTCTATTCCTTTCCCCAAATCTGCAGCGCAAGATTCTCATAGAAGGATTCCAAGTAAACTGATTGTTTTGCAGCAGCAGTAAAATTCAAGTGATGGAATTCACAAGTGATGGTAGCACCAAACAACTCAGATCAGATCACTCAACATGGAATTGAATATGATTTGATATCAGAAACCAGTAAACCACCTGTCAATTCAGTGCATGTCTCGGGTTCTAAAAACTAATTAGCAGAAGCAATCTAATCTGCTCACCGAAGTACACTTGCTTGCAGCAAATCACTGCATTTCCAATGATACTGATGTCTGGTAGTGGGAGAACCTGAGCTTGGCTCAATGCCGTGGACCTGTGTCATGGGGCGTGGCAGGCTGGTGGCAGTGAGGAAGAGCTCAAAGCCTTTTTGGGCCTGCTGACACCGTGAAGTTGCATTTTACAAGCCTGTCCATGCCCTAATCCAGGCAACCAAACATACCCGAAATGGCCTTGTTGTTGTATCCATGCTCCATTGAATTGAACCTAACGTGTTACAATTGTATTTGCTTATACTCGATACAAGTTGTGTTCCTTTTTATCTGGTGTAGTATGTGAAGGGGGCTGGGGAAGGTTTAAAACCCAGCAAAACTAGTAATAAAAATTGAAACCACCAAGTTCAAATCTAGGTGCACCTGGGAGATCTTACGATGAAATTTTCATTAAGTGATCTCCTGGATGATAGAGGTACTCTACTTGAGATCTTCTGAAAAGAAAAAAAGGATGTCCTTGAGGGGAGATACAGCTGCATGGATACGTAACACGTTTTGGCACATACTTGGAGTAGTTTGACAATAGATACACCAGGAGTAAGGTGACTTTAGTAGCAAATCCTCTCTGGAGATTTCTCAGATGTGATGTTTTAAAGTATTGAAATTTTTGGGTCTTATATTTTGACCATGCATCATCTAGGTTTTTGTGGAGTGACTGCTGCTGAGAAGAAACCAATGATGCAGTCTGGTGATGTTGATAAATATTTGAACAAAGCTGACAACGCTAGCCATGTGCTCATGAACTCTGATGACGCTTCTATAATTGGTGGTCGCTGCCTGCATGGTATGCATGGTTTGGGGACTCAGCTGGATTCTGTTGCTCAGAGGTATGTTCTACTGTAATTAGTAGGAGTTTGAACCGTTGAACAAAATTTTCGGCTATCGTATTCTTTGATGAATGGCCTATTGTTGTTTTCCTGTTATACATACTTAAAATGATCATATCTGTACCTATTCACTTGTTCATTTCATAACAAAAGATTGAGTAGCTCATCCCCTGGTGAAAATCTGGACAACAAAATCAGAAGGCCCTCCAAATTATGTACCTTTGATGCTCAAGGCCGGTGCAAGAAAGGAAGGAGTTGCATCTCTCTTCATGAAAGAGAGGGAATTGGTTCTGCAAAGGCTGGTCTGCTCGCACCAGCTGGTTCTGGAAATCATAGAGGTATGAGCTTCCTAACTAGGGCAATCTGTGGTCAACAACTTGCTATCACAGAACCAACTTCTTATTGCTCCCTGCTGTGCATAGGTTTTGAAGAAGGATCTCAAGTACAACATAAATCTGACTTGAAAGTGCCTCAGTTCAAGGATTCAGAGGGTTTATCAAAAGATGAAATGTACCGGAATCTTATTTATGCGTTTGGCAAAGATAATCAGATGGCGGCACATCTTGTTGGTACACACAGCTCTCCCAATCCTGGGGTTTCACAAAGGATGCCTGTCAGCATTGGTGATTCATTGACTGAAAAGCCTACTGCTCATGCAAATGAGCTGGCGCAGAATCCAGTAGTTCATGAGAAGAACAACAGATGTTTCATGGGACACCATATTGGCTTGGCCACTGAAAACTATTTGGATGCTAGAGGTACCTATCCAAGATTAGATGGAGGTATCTTTCAGTTTGGCACGGACAAGGGAAGCAGTGATAGTGATTCCCATGTCTCAAGAACTTACCTTTCAGACTATCCATTTCAATCGTTTGGTTTGTCCGTTTCATCTGATCCTCTCCAACTCGGTGAGAAGCTGTCAGCATATGGTGGAGCGACAAAGACTATTCCTAACATACATCAGAAAGAACATCACTCATTCCATGCTTCATACGGCTCACATAGCTTAACAGGGTCCAGAAATCCTTGCTTTGCTACCTCCGAATGTTCTTTCAGTAGCCCATCTCTTCTAGCAACTTCTCATCTGGGAATACAGTCCCATCATCTGTTCACATCTGATATTGAGAAGGCTGATCTCCATAGATACCTTGATGTTGGAAAGGGCTGTGGTACTTCTAGTTCTGGACCTGCATTGCTTGTGGGCAGTGAACCTGAACCTTATATAATGCCAGTTGGGCCCCACTCTCCAATCAAGGATGAGGTCTGGGAAACATCAGTGCCTTTTGTACCTTCTTTTAGTTTTCCTGATAATACAACACCTTCAGAAAGTCAATATGACCCATTTGTTGACTATGTTGAACCTCCTAAAGTTGGGAATACAAATAATCTCAAGCCCTCCAATATATCCAGCAACATTTCAAGTAAGCATACAAATCAGTACGCAAATGCACCTGCTTGCTTGATTGCTCCTGATAGAGGACGCAGCTCTAGCTTGGATGATATTATCAAGGTCAAAGCTTATGACAGAAAAAAGGATGCAGCTTATAACAATGAGAAAACAAGGGACTTTCGCTTTCATTTGGCAGAACATATAAAGGAGTTGGTCAAACCAATATGGAAAAAAGGTAATCTGAGTAAAGATGCTCATAGACTGGTAGTGAAAAAATCTGTCGAGAAGGTTGTGGACTCGATTGAGCCAAATCAAGTACCAACTACTGAAGAATTGATTACCAAGTACATAGCCACCTGTGGACCAAAGATAGAAAAACTTGTGAAGGTAAATATCTTGCACTTCCAGTTTAATGCAAGCAATCAGCTCTCACATTATTTTACTTCTGTCTATTCAATCACAGGCATATGTTGATAGGCACAGCACAGCATGTCATCCAACCTTCAAGTACAGCAGCACTGAGATGGGAGCTTGAGCTTGATGGTGATGGCAGCTTGAGCCTTATGCCGTACCAATCTGGTTAACCTTCATTTGTAGGCCCAACAAGTTAATATTGGTATGGCAGTCGTTTCTAAATAATATATTTTGTAGCTTAAACCTGGTTGATTCTGCAGACTTCAATCTGAACTCCCTTAGAGTAACTGGAGATGGTAGATTTTAGTTTATGTTTGCATGTTAAATGTGATGGCATCTAATGTAGCCAAGAACAACCTTAACTGCATGTCTGGTTATCGAATGTGTGTTAAACAATGATGCTTACTCTTTTCTCCTCCTGTGCTTGGTGTATTGTTTTGTCCCTTTTGTTTTATGCTTTCTAAGTTGAGATGTGTTCTCTTTTATTCAGTGTTATAGTGTTTGAATAGAAGACACATTCTTAAAGTGTGTCTTCATAATTTATAGTCAACTACAATTTACTAGTAGATGTCATATAGTTGAATACCGTGGCAAGAAAAAGACTAGTAGGGGTATGAGGCCATATTATTAATTTTCTTAGTACATGTCACATGTGCACTAATATAGAATGTCAAACTAGAGAAAGATGGGTGGGATAGCTTAACTACAACCTTTTTGGTTGTTAGTATAAAAAAAGGCGAGGGAGGATCAATACTTTGACATCGAGCACTATTGCAAGTGAGGATGTAAAGAGTTGTGGATATGACCTAGCTTCTAGAAAGAGAGTGAACATACATTAGTAATAAATATTCAGGGAACCCTACTCAACATATGATTGTGACCTTTGTGGTAGAGGTCCTTATCATGTCATAAGTAATTGAGACGGCTTGATGCTGGACTTCTCTCTCTAGTCTTTTGATAGAGGACTACCACCATGACATTTTTCTCCATGGCCAGTGGATACTCCGTTGCTTTAACTCCATCGAATATGTCTTTGTTCAACTCTTTGTATTACCGTTGCATTAGTTTGTTTGGTCGCTCCTTTGTTGCCTTTGCTTGGGCATGGTTATCGATGCCCTATCCTTGTTGAGTAGCTAGATCTTTCTCTCTAGTTTGCCAAAGTTGTGACCATTTTTTCTTGAACAAGCGTGAGAAATGTGTCACTGGATCAAGAAGAAAGTTTGTTACAACCATTTAGTTTTCCAAATTAGATTCATTCTTGTGCTTATATAATAGAATAATGACCACAACCCATGGCACTAGCAAGGCATCGCGGGTGAGTAGCCTACATCGTCTGTAGCCTGCATCGTCTGGAAGGGGGAGCCGTTCTTGAAGATGACAGTGGTCTGCAAGTTCCAAATCGTCGAGGCACCGAGAATGACCCGAAATTCCTTGCACATGGCTATTGCAACATGTCCTTCCATCCGTCTCAAATGGGGAGGGGAGGCGTTCTTGAAGATGACAAAAACAATGACCACAACCCATGGCACTAGCAAGGCATCACAGGTGAGTAGCCTGCATCGTCTGGAAGGGGGCATCGTTCTTGAAGATGACAGTGGTCTGCTGGTTCCAAATTGTCGAGGCGCCGAGAATGACCCGAAATTCCTTGTGCATGGCTATTGCAATGTGTCCTTCCATCCTAACCTGATCACTTCGAGAACGACGAGGGAGTTGAAATCCCTTGTGCTGTTACTACCTAAGTATAGAGCATTTCCATGGCCCTTCACTCTCTCGTGCTTATGGCACGGTGCGGAGTTCGATACCAAGACAAATTGGAATATGTATTGTTTTCGTGGTGTGCCACTCCTGTGTCTGTATGAGTTAGAGTAGCGTGTGCAGACACGATGTAGAGTCTAATCCCAAGACGAATTGGAGCACATGACAATCGATAAATCTCCATGCCTCCTATGCCTATACAAGTCAAAGCATTGTGCATCTAAGCACGATACAGAGTCCGATTCTTTGATGAATTAGAAGACATGACATGATCGTTGGATAAATCTAGCCGCGAGTCGTCCAGGTAACTACGCAACAAGTTGTACATCCTGTTGTAACGTACGAGCATGTTTGCTTGTATAATATTAAAGCATGGAGAGTTCCCTAGTCTGCCACTCTCTTGCGCATGTGCGAGGGAAGGAGTTCAATCAGCATGACGCAATCAAGCTGCGCACATCCAGGTATGGCACTCTGTCAGATTCCAAAACGAATCACAACGCATGACATGATCCTTGAATAAATCTCCAAGCTGCAAGGAGATCGCACGATAAGCTATATGTCTTGTTTCACAATGCATCCTTCCGCTCTATCCCTCCGTTTCGCGAAAAGTTCTGTTAGGTGCGCGCGATACTGGGTGAAGAGCTTGTGCCAAAACTCTATTGCGAAGACGCAGGGCTCAAGCAAGTGTTGGACATGCGATGACTCACCAAGACAAATTGGAATATGTATTGTTTTTGTGGTGTGTCACTTTCCCGTGTGTCTGTATGACATGATCCTTGAATAAATCTCCAAGCCGCAAGGAGATCGCACGATAAGCTATATGTCTTGTTTCACAATGCATCCTTCCGCTCTATCCCTCCGTTTCGCGAAAAGTTCTGTTAGGGCTATGTATTAGCCCTTGCGTGCGATACTGGGTGTTGCGAAGACGTGGGGCTCAAGCAAGTGTTGGACATGCGATGACTCACCAAGACAAATTGGAATATGTATTGTTTTTGTGGTGTGTCACTTTCCCGTGTGTCTGTATGAGTTAGAGCGGCATGTGCGACACTCAATCCCAAGACGGATTGGAGCGCATGACAATAAATCTTCAAGCCTCATGTGGCCATTTGAGTTTAGGCAACGTTCATCCAAGCACGATACAAAGTTTGATTCCTTGACGAATTAGAACAGATGACATGATCGTTGGATAAATCTTCAAGCCACACGTTGTCCAAGTGATTGCACAACAAGCTATACATCCCGTAGCAACGCACGGGCTTGATTGCCCATATAGTATTGAAGTACAAAGTGTTTCCATGGTCCATCACTCTCGTGCACAGCGAGTTAGAGAGGCGTGAGTCCATGAATTGGGTGGAGTTTTCGATCCCAAGATGGATTTGAACACATGACGCGATCAAGTAGCGCCCGTCCATGCATAGCACTCAGATTCCATGATCTTTGAATAAATCTCCAAGCCGCAAAGTGATCGCATGATAGGCTATTCTATATGTCCCATGGCAACGCTGGGCATGTTTGCTAGTTCCATCACAATGCATCCTTTCGTGATATCCTCCAGCCCGTTAAAACTTCCGGTAGGGTTGTGTGTTAGCTCTTGCGGGCGATGGGTGAGGAGCTTGTGTCAAAACTCTCTTGCGAAAATGTAGGGCAAAAGCGAGTGTTGGAATTGTGATGACTCACAGCATAAGCAGGTGTTGGATGTCTTCATCTTGCTGTTCGCAAAGAAGGCATTGTTTCAAGACATAAACATGTGATCATCACTTTGAAGTTTTTTCAAATTGGTCACATTGCCACTTTGGTCACTTTGCCACTTTTAGATATACTTATTTTTTCAACTCTAAAGTCAATTTTCATGGATTAAATGATTGAATCTTTACTTTTGTTCATCGTTGATACTATTGATTGGTGGCATCAAACATCTCTTTATTTTTTCAGCTCATTGGTTGTGACTCATGTTGTGACCATGGTGGCATAAGAATGTGCTCCACCACTAGCAATTCCATACCTTGACATTATTCACTTTGTATGCCTAGATCCCACATTGCCTTTTGAATCGCATGCTTCACACATTAACTTGAAATGGTTGATGGTCAAAGAACACGGATTGGAAGCAACAACGGAAAAGATAGTGCAATGATGGTGTAGGAAAAATGATTTTTTTAAGAAAATAAAATGGTGCTCTAAGTTTGAGAATTTATGTTTGAACCTAGGTGGCCAATGCACTCAAATTTGTCTCCTACCAAACAAATTAGTTTTTGGTTCTCCAGTGTACAATGGTACTCCAATGAAAATTCAAGCCTATCTTAGGTTGGCTACTTCACTTAGCCATGCTAACCATCCAAGTCTTTGCTTGATCTCAATGCATGTGAAAGTTCATGTCATATGGACTTTTTATAGTTAAGGAAGAACTTATGGTCATTGGTGTGCCGTTCACATCATTCGATGCTTAGTACGAGGTGGTAAGTTCCATGGTTGCATTCCTTCTCCTGCCTTCTTGCTTCTCTTATTCAATAAACATAGGTAAATATTGATCATGGGTTCGAAATCTCTCTCCAGGCTATGTAGACTCGAGCTTGGCTTCCTCGAGGACCCATGACTTATGATGACATAACATTTGGATGTACTCTCGTCTTTTGAAGGCTAAACGAGGGTCACAAATCGATTCCATGATCATGAGGACACATCATCTTAACGTTTCTTGACTTCGAGGGAATCACCCCTTGAAGCTCCCAAAGACTTGATCCCCAAGGATCCTAAAGAGAAACCTTGAGAATCATGATAGTATGGCCCTCTATGGTCTCGTAGACTTGTGATAGGCTCTAGAGGGAGGGATAGGAGGTGCTCACCAACAAAGTGAAACAAGCAGTTGATCTAGAGACCATAGTTGTTAAGGCGTCGCTATACCAACGCCATATCGTCGCCATATCGCCGTGGTGTTTTTCTAGCTCTCGCCACGGCGACGCCACGGCTCCGGCGTGTATTGCGTCCGCCATAGCGCCGTGGCGTCCCCGTGGCACCGATTTGGCGTCCTGTGGCGCCTTTGTGCGCTGTGGCGGGCGCAATAGACGGTGAGGGTGAGGGTGAGGCCGTGAGGGTACCTGTATAGGCCGAGTGGCCGATTGGAGCCCTCCGAGACCGAGCCCAAGACGCAACCGCAAGCAGCCCTCCGAGCCGCCGCCGCCGTCGGCCGCCGGGACGGTCGCCCTCCGCCCGCCCCCGCCTGGAAATCCATCCGCTTCGTCCTCCGTCGGCCTCCCCGTCGTCGGCCCTCCCCTCCTCAATCGGCCTCGCTTGAAACTCGCCGCCGCCCCGCTTTGGATCTCCCAAGCCGCCGGCCCGCCGCCTGGATCTCCCGAGCCGCCGGCCCTCCGCCTGGATCTCCCGAGCCGTCGACACGCCGCCTGGATCTCCCGAGGCGCCGGCCCTCAAGCTTCAGCGCCCGCCAGGTACTCTCTCTCTCGTCTCTACTCTGTTCTGGTGAGTTGAATTGCTGAGCTGCTGATTGGTCATAAAAGATTGAATGATTTGGTTTATGTTTCCTATAATCGGAAAATGACTAGTAGGTTCCGAAAGCGCCGCGAGGAAGCGGGTAAAAGCTATGACCCTTTGGTTATAGAAGATTTTGATTGGAACAATGAATGGGTAGACCCAATGGCCCAACATGAAGGTGCTCGTGGTTCGGACCTCACATGGGATCAAGTTGATGAAGCCATTGGTGCATCACGTGAGCTTCGAGGTCGTAATCTTCCTAGGACCTACGCTCGTCGTGCAAGGCATATATCAAGAGTGGTTGAAGAAGATGAGGAAGAGGGAGAGGAAGAAGAGATCATTTTGGATGATGATGATATAGATGATTTTGGTGAACAACCAATGGATGCTACTGAAGATGGTGGAGAGAACGTGGATGCTTCTAACGATCTCGATGAGTTTGCACTGGACGACTTTTGAGAGATGAGAGATTTGGAAGTTTGAGAGATGAGAGAGTTCTATGTCTTTTGTGCTACATTTACATTGCTATTTTGATTTGCTAATATTGTAGACTATACCTTTTAAGCTACATTTGCATTACCATTTGTCAATATAATTTCCTAATATCCTAGACTATAATGTATGTATTCGCCACGCCGATGTGTGTATGGCGTCGCCACGCCGTGCGCCATAGACGCTGTAAAGGTGGTGAAGGTGGTGAAGGTGGTGGGTCGCCGCGCCTCGCCACGCCGCCGTAAAAACTATGCTAGAGACTACAGTTTGTTGACTATTTTATCCTTGGTCAACCCTAGTCAACTTCATTGACCACCAACAAAGTGAAACAAGCAGTTGATCTAGAGATTACAGTTTGTTGACTATTTTATCCTTGGTCAACCCTAGTCAACTTCATTGACCTTGAGACCATCTTTTGTACAAGATCATGTCCACTATACCCTAGGTAGCCCTCTCAAGAGTACAATTGATTCATGCACAACATAATGAACTTTCACAAGGGCACCCCGGGAAGGATATTTAGGCATCATGGAGATTTGGCTTGTTGATTGGACATATTGTGCCACGCGACTTCAAATCACATCTTATTTCATATCATGGATGCCAAGGCCATAAAGTGGACTAGTGTCCATTCCTTTACGGCTTTACGTGACTGAGTCTGTGACTGTGTTATGCCTTATTGTCACTATGCATGTCTATTGTACATGGAGTGGATGCTATAATCAAGGGACCTCTTTCAACTATGTTCATTTATGACGAATGCTACTCATAGTGCAACACACCAACTGCTATTGCCAACATGCATTTTCTTCCCTGAAGGATTTTAATTGCATTGGGTTTGATGCTGCGGTAGGATAATGCTTTACGGTAGGATAGATGAGTTTCATGTCTATCTTGGAATTAGGGTTTAAATGGCATCAACATTGAACTTGTACGAATTATTCTGTGTTTGCAATAGATGAGTTTCATGTCTATCTTACTTTACTTTCTCCTCCAATGCTCTTGCTTTCCTTGTTGGATTATTGTTAACTCTACTCTCACTTATCACATGATCTATCCATAGACAGCCTTTTATAACTGTCAAGGGAGTGGATTAATCACAGGTTAGAGATTGCAACATACATTCCTTTATGGCTAATTTGGAAACTCTAATCCCCTTGGGATCTTGGACTTTTCCTGGGGTAGTTCATCCATGGGTATGCTATTTTACTTAGCCACTTAGTTCTCCACATGGGGCTTGGGTTTTGCCTCCCCCTTGCTTCCAAATTAGGCCTTAGTAATGGAGCAAAGCAAGGGCAAAAGGGACTTCTCTTCCATGATGACTCAACAAAGGATGACCTGAGTCGCTGACTAGGCATGCCATGTCGTACCAAGGATAGATTGGAGCAAAAACAAAAGGGAAAACTAAATGGCTAGATTGGTCAGTTTGAAAGTTCCAAGGATGGACAGAGTGGTCTATTTCGACTAATAATAATTTGAAGTATGTCAGAATCAGAACTTAATTTCCCTCTGTTATGTATCTTCCACATTACACTAGATATTATCAAATATAGTAATCCCACTATTGAGTTTAGAATTTTGAGCTCTTTTTTGCTGAATAAGTTTCTTGTGTGCAGGAAGCAGAAAACCATACAGGCAATGGCAGAGGCCGTGCGAGCGGTTGTGTGAGAGGCTGTCGCGGTGGACATGGAACTTGGCGGGGGTTGTCACAACTCATGAACAATTCGTGGAGAACTAATCTAGCTAGCTAGTCATCCTAAAAGTGGAGATAGCCGATGAGGTCTTGGGTGCAGCTGAAGCAAAAGAGTCTACTACACCAATGAGCAGTGCCAGGGCTTCCCTAAGGAACATTGACTTGAATTTAGATCCAACTGATGAAGAGGATGAGATTACAGTGCGGCCCCAAGCCCAGTCATCAGCTCCAGCAACTAATTTAGCTGCGGCCAATTTAGGACTAACTGCTCCAGCAACTAGTTCCATTGCAGCCACTACAGAACCATCTGTTCCACTTTCTGGGTGCTTGGGAACTGCCTGACATGAACAATATGGAGATGGGCCCTGTCCAGTTTGCTTTGTCAAAAAACCATAGATTGGAGAGGATGAGGATTATGACAATCAAAACTAGCTCCGCCTTTATAGCTTCAGAGTGGATAAGTAGGATAGCAGGACAATTGTAGGTTGGGCTTAACTCTGTAGAAATTCTCATGTATCATGTGTATCATTGCCACCGAAGCTGCAGATGTATAGCTTATAATGTACCACAGGTTTAAGGTTGCTTGACTAGTTGACTGTAATGTTCCAAAGTTAGATTCGCTCAGCAGGTAGTGTTTTGCATATAGTATGTCTATGCTTCATTGGATAGTTGAGGAAGATCTTGCTGGATGTATGTGTGGCAAGAAAAAAAGCTAGAAGACTTTCAGATTACTTAGCACAGCTCATTCCATGACAGGAGTCAATATTTTCATATATCATAGATCTGGTAAGATGCTGGTTTATTCAGTATATTATACTTTTCCAGTGAGATGTATTTCATGTCCAACAACTAAATTCTTTCATTCTTATGCTCCAGCAGCCTCCAGCGAAAAGCCTGTGAGCCTTCAGGGGAAAATACGTCATCGCACTGGGAGATGACACCTTTATTTCCTGAAACATGGTTATCCAAGCACAAGGGAAAACTTCCAGTAGTGATCACCCTTGCTAGTACAGGTTTTGCAAAGCTATTTCAGTGTTATTCCCTCCTATTTTTTGTGCTACACCTGTGAAAGAACTTGTACCTCAGGTCAGGTGACTGCGGCATCCCCGATGGGCTCGAAGCTCTGCAGCTGCTTGAAGTTCTTCCGCCCACACCTTGGCCTTGTACAGCTTCTTGCCACTGCTCGCCTCCTTCACCTCGACAGTAAAGTGGTGCATGGTCCTGGCCACCACCTGATGCCTCACCTTCACCGACCTCTCAAACTCTAGTATCATGTTCTGCACATATATTATACATGTGATGCATCATCAGTGGTGGCTCCAACGATCTCAGCTTGAATGTGTGAAGGTGGTGGTTTATGCAGAGGGACATGTCGGTCCATTGTGCTCCGCGTCTGTGAAGCACACGAGCTTGATGGCCTCGAGGCCTTTCTCGCACCCTGCCGGTGTGTTCCTGGACGTTGTCCACCATCCCCACAGGCCGTTCGTCTCGGCCATGGCTGCTGGAGTTGAGCAGCTGTGCAGTGGGAGAAAGAGGAAGCTGCAGCGAGACTAGACAGATGACAACGGCCACTCCTGCTTTTAGTAGTAGAGCAGCAACAAATAATGTTCCATGAATCCAGATCAGCATAAGTCTGGAGTGGAGGACGGCCAGGTTTTAAGTGGATGTGTAATTTATTGCACTTTCATTCAATGTCAACGTTTCTCGTGGTTCTTGAAGACATACCATGCTTCCAATTTGTTACTGTCCAAAGCCCAAACCCTCTTCAGCGTTGTTAGTACTCAATACGAGGAATTTACTCCGGTTTGATAATGTGGTGATTTTGGGTTTTTTTACTGTTATAATGGGCAGGTCTCCTCCTCTAGAAGTGAATTTACTTTCAGCTAATTGTTCCATTATCTTCTATTGCATATCTTTTTTACTTCACTTAATTCTAGCTAAAGGGCAGTGAAAAAATATCTGAGTGGTATGGCATTTTCTGGTGGTTATATCTTTCTGGCTATGGGCAGTGGAGATTTGGGGATTACTAGTAAGTGATCAAATCTCAGCTCTCAAGACCCGCTAAGTGTCAACTAAATATCGATTCCATTGATTGCTCATTTCTAGAATTGTAAATGTGCTGTGCACACTTATTGTAAGTATCTGTGGTGAGCCTGTATCTGTGGTGAGCCTCTATGTCTAAAGGCTGATTACGACTGTCATCTGATTTTTTTCCCCTTGTGAAGCTCATGCAAGTCTTGGTATTTTTATCTGAAAATATTACCTCATGTGTACATTTAGACCTTCCAATTTTACTATCGACCTTTGATATGTAATCTATGATTCTCTTCCAGGGTTAAAATTATTGCTTTCATATTTGCTTTACATGATTCATAAGTTTTAATTTTCTCCGTGGCTATTGCTCGCTTCAAACCTGGCTTTGCATCTGTTGTATGTGATCCGCTCCCTTTGTCAGCCGTATGGCTGAACTGTGGAAAGCTGTGGTTCCAGCATCGTGGTCTTTGTTGATTGTGGCTAACTAAGTCTATAGTGGCAAAATTGCATCGCATTTGATTATGTTAACTAATAAATACACGGTTTGGTGCATGATTCTCTGATGCACAGAAAAGAAAGCTGATGCTGAGACATTACCATTTCCCTCTGTCACTAAGAATGTTCTACAGAAGGAGAGGCTACATTGAGTGCTTTGCAACATTATAATATTAGATAGATATAGAATATCAAAAGCAAAAGCCTGATAATGGGTTTCAAAAGAAGAAAAGAAAAAACAAAATTCTAGCTTTCTTTTTTGTGACTTCTCTTGTTCTTAGCAATCTGCTGTGTTTATCGCAACTTTTCATATTACAGCCTATATGGAATGGTACATCACAAAAGTTTTCGGATTGCCGTTCTTTGTTTGTTTGGATCGGAACAGCTCTCATAAGATTAGTCCGCTTCAGCCAGATCGATGTTTTTGTAATCAACGTTACAGTTGACTATAAGAATGATCCTCAGTTCAGTACCTCACTATTTACTAACCTAAGGCTCTGAGCGTACATCCGCACATGAGATTGCAGTGGACCACTGTCCAGATCATGCTGCCTTGTATAATTAGTACTACTTATTAGTAGTTATCCCAATATCGAAGGACCTCTGCTGTCTTGTTATCTCGAAGGGACCCTAGTGTCTGTTGTGTTTGCAATGATCGCATTGTTTTGTTATCAGTATTTCTACAAGATTACTCTCTTTGCCTTCGGCGGTTTGGCCATTGGTACCAAAGTGAACCACAAAAGCC